ATATTCATAGGAAATGCAAATGTTTCATTAATTGTGGTTTTCGTAGATTATAAACACGCATAAACATCCACAGTCTAGCAATAACTGAATAAAAGCAACAATGACGGGAACCAGTTTATTATTTACATACGCTACTTCCGGACGGAAAATTCCAAAAATGCTTGCGAACGGTCGTACATAAATTTGCGCAACAGTTGACATTCATTCGTTCATTTTATTCTCGACGGAATAACAGGTGTACAACAAGGGGATAAATGAAAATGAAGATACGGCATTTCGGAGCACTCGCGGTGACAAGTTGTGTGGCTACGAGAATACTACAAAATGGCGGTAGCGCTTGTACGCGCTACGCGACGAAATGCTTGTTAACTCTCGGGTGGCAAAAGAGAAAGGAAGAGGAGAATCGTACGAAAATTTGATGTAAACTGCAATACTGATTATAATCTAACACGTTGGCTAATCCGATTTCGATCAAACTCAGTAATACATTGTACCTAATAGCTAAGGATACGGTAGCCATTATACGATCCACTTTCGTGCTTTACTCGTTCAACGTAGCAGTACAGAATGTGAAATGATTCGTTATCAGGATCTATTTTCATTCCAGTCAGATAAAATTAAATTAAAAAAGATCCACATTTTTTTATCACCTTCGAGATTTAAACTTACACGTTTTTCGTTTCCTTTTTCACATCTTGCACAGTTGCAATCGTTATACGTGGACGTCGTAATGGGTAGCCAGCGTGTAATAGGTAACAGTAGATAACAAAAAAAGAAAGAAACAGACTAAAACTTAACGGTCTACTTAAAAAAATTGCACTGATCGACGTGCTTCGCACATTCGTGCATTGTCTCGCTGATATGCTTACAATATATTGCTATCCAGCGTATGGATAAAAAAATAAATAAATAAATCGCACCAATAAATAAATAAATAAATAAATAAATAAAATCGATCACGAGTTACGTCTAAGCTGTTACGACTAAGCTTCCGTAGAAAAATCCCTAACGTTAAGAGAGGAAAGTATAAGATCATTTGATTGTTGGACGGAGTCGTGCAAAAAAGAGGAGCGATCTGAGAATTGTATACCGTGCGGTGTAAGTCGAGGGTGTACGGACTGTGAACGCGAAAAGATATCCTACAAATAAATATATACACGTATATAACATACAACGGACGTACTCAACACTTAATTGATAAAAATTAACTTCCACGCTACGCCATTGTAACAAACCTTATTGCGTTGAGTTAGAAACAACTTTCGCCGTAAACGGTGAACAAGAAAACTAAGAAATAATTGAACGGTAAAGGGTGTCGGATTGACATGAACGTGAAAAGAACAAGTCATCTGTAACTCAACCCAATACTTCTCTAGGAGGTCCGTTCATCCTCGAGTTATTCGACTACAATCTTGTCTCTGCGTTAAAGGAAATCGTTACATTTGCTTCTTACGTGTCGTGCGAGGAGAAACAATGATCATAGAGGTCACAATTACGTCGGCTAGGTATCGTCACCTACATACGCGGTTATTCTCTTTTGCATGATACCGTGCAATCCTCCGCGCGTGTACACGCTTGACGTTACACCGGGCTTGTACTTGCGTCTGTGCGAAGCGGTAGACTCGGACTCGGAACAGAGGAAGCGTCACACGAAATACAAAAACGATCGGAAACCCTTTTATCTGTCGTCTCTCGGCTCGCCGTGCATCGTGCACCGCGGAACCCCTTCAGCAAGAGCCTACCGCTGACCCTAAGTCTACGATGAGAGATGCGTTTCCCTTCACTTTTATTATTATTGTTCTCAAAAAATACTGTACACAAGAATACCTAAGAGTTTACATCGAAGCTCGTCCATTGACGCTCGAACGAGCACTGAAGCACTGCAGTTTTACATACGCACGAGCGAACTGATACGCTTCTCTTGAACTTGTCTTTAATCGGGAAAAGATAAAACGTGGGCGGGGCAACGTTCAAGAACTACGATCCGGCGAACTCCTTGTTTACTCGTTCCTTCGGGTCCTCAGGGATGTTTCCGCGTCGCGGGTTTGTTCACCTCTTCAGGAAACGGAAGAACCCCCGACCTTTCTCCGGCGGGGGCGCCATCAGCATCGGGACTTGGTTCTTATGCGTTATGTGAATCTGAAATGGTTTCAGGATATATTAACGCTTTCGATTATGAATATTCTGTAAAACGTCTATGGAGTTTGAACCCTTCTAACTCTAGAACTACCGTGCCTATTAGAATGACGGGTTACAGTTTACTTGTTTTGCAATGATTGATATTTTAAGAGTAAATAGTTTCACTTAAATATTATAATCAATATTTGAAGAAGTCGAAAAAATGTCACAATTGTTATAAGATTATTAACTCTAATAAATCCTTGGTAGTTCTAGCGTTAACCTTTTAGCTGTCTGCAACTATAGTGGCTCATTTTATTTTCTGTTATTGATAGTAACTTACAGTACTGCCTGACCTAACGTAATTGCACTGTGGACAATTCTATCAGTCTCAAATCACAGTGCTACGTTTATTACAGTCTGCGTTATACCTTGCCGTACAGAGCTAATGCTTCGCGGTAAGTCTTGTCGTAGCCGAATGGTTAATAAAATTAAATGTGCTAGCCAGTATATATTATAGTTAAAAGATTAATTAAGTTATTGAGTTGAACTCACAGTGCAAGGGCCTTGCATCCACGGCTCGCCATCGATCTGCATGGGGAACCGCTTGGTCGTGGTAATGGTGACGCTGCTACACTGAGCCAGCCTTCTTCCGGAATGGCGAAGACCCGTCTTCACTTGACCCATGTGCAAACAGTTCTCTAAACCGATCACTTCGATCAAATTGTCACCAATGTCTGCACAGATATTCCATTATTACTCCTCGATCAAACATCAATCAACACTTTTTAATAATCCCTCGTGCTTTTATTGCATGTACATTCATAGCCTATTTCTGTAGACGATTATTCTGTCGTCATGATTGTTCCCAAAATTCTATTTCTATTTCTAAATCCCGAGAGATCAGATCTTTTTTCGTCGACTGTAGACACTTATTAAACTGTAGTCGAAAATAATACAAGCAACTGTTTTGGTAGTAGAATTACGTATCCTACTGTATTTTATATATTCACGAATCTTATAAATTCGTATAATTCGTAGTCTAATAATTTCTACTACAGCCGCTCGTTTTTTTTTATATTTTCATTCGCGACACTCCGTATTGTCGTGAGATTTGCGTTGAAATTGTCGTTCAGCGAGCGGATACCTTGTATCGCAGCCGTCAGATCCACGGAATTGAAGCTGCTGGTGCTGAGTTCCTTATCCGGTCGCTTTTTCCGTTTGCCGAGTCGATGCCTCGAATGGTGCTCACCCCAGAGATTCGAGCCTCCGTGAGTAAAAGGAATGTTCAGTAATGCGACTCCTTGGAGAGAAGGACCATGAGCCAGATCCAATGGCGTTCCATCGCACTGTGTAGGCCGATCGACGAGTATTATTGAAAGGTTTATAAAGGATTATTAAAGGAAGAGAAAACTTCAAGTATTTCGAATGAAGATTACACTTACAATGATCTCAAGATCCTCGTGGAGATTTTTACAGCTGGCCGCGAACTGTTCCGTGGTTGCGTACTCGAAGTACCACAGTTTGTTTTTCATTCTACTGTTAAATTTCTCTGGGTTTTTCTCCCTTTCCATGTGGAACTTGACGCAGATCGCGGCGTCCACGCCCACGGAGAAGTAATTGTTAATAATATTGTACGGTATGCTGTCTTGGTTCGGTTTCTTTTCGTCCTTTTGATCCAGTACTTCGATTTGCCAGCGGTCCATCATCACGGGCGTCGCCTTCTCTATTTTCTACGATTCAATACTGCTGCTTAGAACCTTATTATTTAAAATAAGATTATTTATCTTAAAATCTTCTTATTTGAAGTAGGATAATTTATCTTAGCATTTTCCTATTTGAAGAAAAATAAGGATGAAACAATTTTGCGAAGTTTTCCCCTTTCATCGATGTTCGTGAGAATTTGTAATTTTTTGTACAAACCGTGAGAAGCTACAGTAAATACACGTATACAGTCAATCAAACGCTATTTACAAAAAAAAGTTCTTTTTATTCGTGTTTCATTTAAACTCGAAACTAATAATGTACGTTCAAACTGCGTTTCGTTACTATGGAGATTCACCTACTTTAAGGACTTTGTAAATCGCTTCACCCTCGTAACCACCACCCCATCGCAGACATCTTGCGAGATCGTTGCCTGTTCCAAGTGGGATGACGCCTACAGCCGGCTGATGTTCGAATTGAACGCGATCTGAAATTCAAAATCAGCATATCCGTGGTTGTAAACCGAAGCCGGAATAAGTCACGTATTTACATGTTCGTGATGTCGCAGCTTGAAGCTTCAAATATCGGTTCTAGATTATCGACTCTGGTGTTATTACATTTCTAAGAAGGTTTCCTTCTTAGTAAGTCTAGTATAAGAACGATATAATATTAAGGAAAATTCTAATTAACGCGTTTAGCGTCACAAAAATCTTGGCCGTTTTTTCGTAGAGTTATTTGTTTGTAGTAAAGAAAAGCAGGAACAATTATTAATTATTTGGCCTTACAATCCTTGCAGTGCACTATTATCAACTTCGTTGCGTTATTAAACATCTTCATTCGACATCGGTTATACTGCATGTTACGATTGTTTTCAAGTAACTCAGAAGCGTCAGTTATCGGTGACTTTACTTCGTTAGTCCTTCTTTAACTTTACCATTATTACCGTACTGCAATAATCCAAATAAGCTAGATTCGTTTTTAATTCATAGAAAAATACCATTCCTTAATTTCTCAATTTAAAAACATACATACAAAAATAAAGTAAAGCGGTAAACCCATTGTCAGAAAGTTCTATTCCTGTAGCAATTTTCGTTCCCTTCCAAGGTACCAGACGTCCAGTGATTTATAGCAGTTTGTATCGTGTTTGTTGGCAACCCGCAGATATAAGGACAGAACTCCAAGCGTCGGTTTCCCAAACTTTTAATAAATAAGCGATCGTACCCATGGTTTCCAAGACCCAGCCGACGGTGCCGTCGCCGCCGCAGCAGATCACTTTAAAGTTCTCTACGTCTTTGAACATCTGCAGGCCTTGCATCGGCCCGCCCACGGCCAAGTTGTGAACCTGTCGCGGGTTCAATATGTACTGGAACTTCCTCAGCATTCGTTCGCCCTGTCTGCCGCCGGATTTCGGGTTTATGAAGACCAGAAGGGGAATGCTATCCGGCGGTGGCGTGATTTGGAAGGACATAGCTGGCTGCTGGTTCGACGTGTTACCGGAAGTTAAGAACCCGGTCTACGAAAAGAAGAATATATCCACTTTCCGATCGATTATACACTTTCTGGAGGTCTATCAATATTTTTTCCAGTTACATTGTTTTTCTTTTGTTCTTTATAATCTTTTCAAAAAAGTTCTCATCTTCACTTTGATTCAGATTACTAAACAATTGTCAATTCTAGACGTTTTCTAGAGGAAATTCTACGTTCTTCTCTATTTAAAATAGTATATACTGTCAAAATTGTTTAATTACTTATTACAGAAATCTCTCAGTTAGATGAACTTTCTCTTATCAAACGAGGAACAAGTTAACGCTTTCATTTTTATTTAGTTGAAATTGACACTCGTGTTTAAATAGTAATGATAAATTAATGCGATAAGTATTTGTTGAGCGGTATAATGAATATCTTCCAACTGAATAAAAGATTGATTATATAATGCAATGTGTATGTGTATCTGCTTACAGAGCTAACGGAAGACGAGTCTTGGCCGTGCTTGCTTCCCCTTTTACTGTCCCGGGAAAACGATCTCTGCCTGTCCAGGACGATCGGACAGATCGCAGTCGGAGGAAGAATATGCACCGCGTATTCACCGAGCGTGCATTCTGTCCTCACTTGCGAGACGCATCTGTTATGCAACTGTAAAGTTACCGTTGCATGAATATCACTCTTAAAGTTCTAGCATATTGTACTCCGTGCATTCACACCTTGTACACTTCATGAAAATAAAATCGTTTCACGGTTGACCACGTTTATTCACTTCAGCCCTCGGCGAACTGTACATTTCATGGATCCGTCGCGTCGCGAATGCGATTAAAACGCGATGTAACGCAGAATTCGATAAAGATTAATACAGTGTTCTTAATTCGTATTGAAATTAAAGAAATATAATGATCAAAGAGAGGAAGCTTTGTTTAATTTATGTCTTTGTATTCATCCTTAAAATTATCTTCAAATTTTCTTAAAAATTGTGAGGAAGCTTTTTAGTTAATTCATTGGTACTTCTTATCTGAATAGAAGATTGTGTTTCGTCTTTCGCTACTAGTTTCCTGTAACTTTGCGCGTGACTAATGGAATGTACTAATTTTCGCAGAATCCCGAAGACAGTGTCAACATTTGAAGAAAGACTAGTACTCACAGTCAGCTGACACCATCTGCAATGCAAGCCCGTGATACCGTTGTAGCTCTTGATGGTCTTCCTGCACTTGGAACATTTACCGTGACAATTACCCTCGACCCAGTGATGCGCCATCGTTTGCGACGTCTTCTTGCTTTTCACGTACGTCGCTATGCAAGAAGCTGGCGCTCTCTGTACACATCTCTCGTGGACCGTATACTTGCAAACTGTACAAAATAAAACGAGGATCATTGATCAATCGTTTCAATGAACTTAAATAAAGGAAACTTCGCCTTTAGTGAAACCAAAGGCTGTTCCTCGTTTTTAAATCCACGAAACATCGAATCTTCCTATGGAATCTCATATTTTAAACTATGAAATATACAATACGCGAAAGAAAAGAACGAAATAACCAAAATGCGACGGAAGAACCAACAAGCCTTCTCACACTCTTCAAAGAAACTTCAAGACATCCTCGACATATCAAATGAATCTTTATCAATCATCGTATTCACATATCATCCCACAATCCCCAGTATATTCATTTATGTCACAGTAAAAAGAAAAGAGCATCGCAGCGAAAACATCAGACAAACCGACAACACTTTCCCGCGAACTGATCATCAAGCTGCAGCATATGGTACGTCAGCCATAATTGTTTCCCCGCGTATCTCGAGATAAAACTTTCCAACTTCCCATCCCGCGCGGATGGTTAATTCGGCTTCTAGGACGCTCCATTATCCTCGGAGCGGAGTGCTCGGACTGATAAAATATTTCTCGAGGCAGCGGGGAATGGCGGTTATGATATCAAGGACTCTGTGGTACTCACAAACGCAACAAAGTCCTTTCTTGCCGAGACCGACTAGCATATTCAGACAGAGATTGCAATAGGCGGGCTTGCTGAAGTGCTTTAGCCTCCAGAGATGATTCCCGTCCTCCTTCACGTGGGAATCGAGTCCCAGCAGCACCAGCAACGGGATCGTCGTGAGACCGCCCCTCTTCCACTCCTCCAGAGACACAGTGCCATCGGCGTCGTAGTCTATTTCCATCATCATGTCTTGCAATATCTATAAATACCGTGGGATTTATGCCTAGATATCAGCTCATCGAGCCCTCCCGCCCCGCCACGGCGACCGGCTACGTAAACAAAATGTCGGGACCGCGTGTATTCACCCGGGAAACGCGATATTACATTTCTATTTGCGCGCGCGTCCTGCGAGGCGTCCTTGAGACCACTCGAACACCCCGAGGATCTCGTCCTCGTTTTTATCGCGAAGCCGATGCCTCGGTAGTGAAAATAGAAAAACCGACACTCCTGGCGCCACTAATGGAACCCGCGGGCTTCGTATTTGGAGACGGTTGTTAGGATTGAAGGAAGGACTTGTCCTCGTGGTGCAGGTGCGCACACGGCACGTTCGCTCTGACATTTGCGAATATTCTCCAACTTTACGAGCTGGAACTTTGTTTCGATATAGTGGTCGAATTAGTGTTGATAACCGCGGTTGTCGATGCAAATCGGAATTAGTAAGGAAAGAATGAAGTAATAAAAGAGTCTTAGCGCCAGGTTTACAATGCGTGAATTCGATGTACATTGAATTTTCTAAACACTTGGTAAATGTTTACGTTGATTTTGATTGCAATCAGAATACGTGTCCTAATTGTATATTTTTCAATCTGTAATTATCAAGGTTTAAATTAACAGTTCTTTTGGGAATGACAGAATAAACTGTACAATAAATGTCTATACACCCAGCGTTGAGATAGAGGATTGATGTTGTTAATGATATTGGGTATTGATGAGTTTCGAAGCTAAATTAGGAAGAGACTAAATAATAAGGGGAATATTTCTTTAATTTAGGAAGCGTTGATTGCTATTCGTGCATGATAAATGGATTCGTTCGAGGTTCGTTGAAACGCCAACGGTTAGATTGATTATAATCTCGCTAGGGGGAAAGTTTTATAAGATAGGATATTGAGATTCTTCGAGCGAATTGTATAAAGCGATAGATGTTTTCTTTAACCGTGGGTGAAACGGGTCTGCAGAGCTTTTCCGAGAATACGTGGGCGGTTGTCGTTCCGCGATACTAAAATGAAATCATCGATGCTCCTACTTACCGGTTTCAATTCCGAGACGTCCCATCCGAGATACTCCGCGACATTCATCATCTGATTGACAATGCAGTCCATCTCCTAGGGGCACGCGATAATGATATTAAACGCGGGATTACGATTGATAACGGAGAACACGCATCGATCTATCTCGCGTTGGGGACAGCTGTCGCGATGACAGATTTATCTAGCGTTAATCTATCGCACGAGAAGTTTTACACGTTCTTATACACCGACGACGCGGCGATAGCCAATAGAATTGCAGCGTTCCGTGGATCCGTAATCTGGATTTATATAATACAACGTTAACAAATGTAATAAGGACATATATTTGTGTTGAACCATTTGATTCATCGTTTTACAAACTATTGACACTTAAATTACTGCAATTTCAGTGGCTATCACTGTATATCACAGAAACTACCGTTATAGATTGTGATGCTTAATGAGAAAACTGCGAATTTTTATTGCATTACATTACATGGAAAGGTTGAATGACATCAAAGATTTGACAATTTGCATAAAGATCCGCTGTTTACGAGCATAAGTATCATGATTTTATACATTTTATACGAAGTGAAGAGAGAAAAGGAATAATCTTCGTGGAATGTTTCATAAAGATTGATTAAAACATAAGAGTATGTCGGAGTAAACGAAAAATGTCCCAAGTAAAACTGCGATGCATCGTTTCCTTATTTTAAAATATCACACACCATAATGTTGTCGGTTCATGCACAGCGGAATTTCTTATTTAGCAATCGATTTCCCGCTCTCCTTTCTACATTGTAACTCCGCCGTACCCTTTCGAGGACGATATGCATATATTCATGAATACCCAAGCATTCACCCGGCCATCCAATTATGAATCTCTAAATATGCAATGTCGAGGTTCCTTCAGTTTCCTGATGCACCTCTTCCGCATTATATGTCTCTCGGACAGAGTATTTCACGCCCAAAAAAGCAGAACAAGGAAAATGAAGGTACACAACTCGGAAACATATTTGCTAGCTGTTTCTCGATAAAACACGAATCAAACGCGAAAATTCAACGAGCTAGATCGCAGAGGCGATCGTTCCAATTTTTCCGTGTCGCATTTCGCGATAAGTTTTATACGTTAATCCCAGTGGAAGTCAATATCGTGCTCGATATTGCTCGCACGAATCAACCCGAAATTATAAATTATTCACGAGCAGTTTCTCGTTCGGCTGACGGCGAAGATCGTGATTGTAACATTTCTTTCGCCTGGAAAAATGATTCGGAAGAGCGAAAATGCGGGTTCGGTGGAGCGCGGAAAATTGCGGGAGCGGCTCCATCTCGTTTTTACTCACATTCGTATCAAGGACACCGTTTCCATCTGTATCGTACAGCCGGAACATGACTGGAAGAAGAAGAAGAAAAAAAGAGGAGAGAATAAACGAATTAACGCACGTCGAAATTGGCGTGCAACAAGTTGCAGGCGGACGTGCTGACCCGGAGGGGTGCAACGCGAGGGCTGCGCGGGGTTAGCCGGTCGAGAGGACTGCGAACGACTGGCGGAATGCGCCTCCAGGTCTATCGGTTCGCTCTTGTTTAATTAAAAAAGACCTCCTCCACGGTTCAACAATTTTTTTTCAGCGAGCTCACGCTTCGACATTACTCGAGACACTTCAATTAATTGTCTAGACGCTCCTTCGGATTTTCTATACGGAGTTATCGACGGGTCACGCTTCTTTTGTAATACTGCTTTTTATTATTTACCTCTGGTACCTCGAAACTGTATCTTATTTGATTTTCGAAGTTATAAACAAAATGTTACGTATGATTTTAAAGAATGAATTTGAAAGTCAATATATTCGGAATGAATATGCTTATGAAGATATTTTAATATTTAATCTGTAATAGAGTTTTCTTGAAAATTACTTGCGATCATTTTGGGAGTGATCTTTCTTGTGAACTTGATAGACAAGGAGGAACGAATAAGATGGACTTTTACGAGTCGTAATAACGATAATAACGACGTGTGTTACAGGATCGGTGTTGATACTTCGGCTAAGTAGAATCACTCGTGTACACGAAACGTGCAGAGGAGGATCTCGTTATCGATTCAAGTGTTCGAGAGGGTAGCACGAATCCGCGGTTGTTTTACAGGAAAGTCACTTACATTCCAGTTTGTCTTCTGGCCTGCCAGCTTCGAGAAGAGACAGGTAGCACACGATGTCCTTCAGACTGACTTTAACCGAGTGAACGTCTATCGTGCTTTGTTTCCTGACGAGATGTCTCATCTCTGCAATCAAAGGATGAAATATACACTGAAAATTGCACAAAAAACAGTATATTATCTGTACTTTTTCAACAAGTTATAAAACGACATGTACAGTCCCTTCAATTTTCTATAAAAGATATTAAACAAGATTTTCCACATTATTCACAAAAATATTCATGACGTCTTCTTCGTTTATTCTTTCAATTTACAAAAATATAATGAAGACATCCAACTCGATCTAATAGATACCATCGTTTCATTATTCCCAAGGCCAAAGTTACTTCGCTGTCATCGACACGCAACCTTCGAAGCAACCGTGTACTAGCTAATGAACACGCAGCTCCTTGGCTTTTTCGCAAAGAGCTGACAGGGCATGAAGTAACATTTGGCAGTAGTAAACGTGAAAAGAAGTTTACAGAGCAACGGGGTTAAAATATAAAAGCGGCGAGGGACTTGTTGCTTCGCGGAGTATCTCGATCCGAGCCAAAAATACGGTGGCGTATCGGTCCCGAAATTCCCCGATGAGTTCCGCGGCAAGGGTTGGTTAGAATACTCGCGCGGGAACCGTGAAACGGGAAGTCCGATCGTAGATTATTTTTGGATCGGCGATACCAAGTGGTTCTCGGTCGGTTGTGTTACAAGAGCACGCGACGGAGAACCTGTTGCTTCGCCGGGGATTTAGGAGGCGAGCATTGATGTCCGCTTGATAGACGCTCGATTTCGCGGATGCTACCTTCGACGTGAATCCTCGTCGCGTAATTTACAAACAATGTTGCTAGAAGCTGATATAAAACCTTCCCCTGAAAAAACTTTCATCTTAAAATGACTAATTAATGAGTAATCATTTATTCTTGGAATGTTTGAAGATGTTAGTCCTAGAGATTATGATTAATCAATTATTTCTATGCTTCCTTTTGCCAGTTCGTTACTTTCCTTAGCAGTAGGAAAATATTAGAACCATCCTCTTATGATAAGAATAAAGAATTCTTAACTCTAAAGATACTTTTCTTGAAATATATACATCTTCACTGTATATAACAGCTTTAATAGAGTATCTTCACTAAGAACACGATCCTTCATCGTGAATCTTGAATATATAATACAAAGTGAAAGATTTTTTGATATTCATAAGTAATACCAGTTTAATACTTCCAGTATTAACATCCTCGACAGTGGTGAGTTTAATTAGTATAATGTGTTTCTTTATCCTATAATGGCTATACTAGAGTTAGATGTTACTGCGAAGGAACATCTGATTCGCAGAGGACATTTTCGAACGGTCATTCAGTAAAGCATCTTCTGTTTCTATAAGAAGAACATCGAAGAATATGACCAGTAAAATTTCCCCTCGTGGTTAAACGAGCCTCCAGACATAGCGATGAGAGAACAACGAAAGAAAGACGGACAATGCCGCCGGTCACGGGGGAAATAAAGCCGGCTGATCAATCGTAGAAAGCGAACGATTTATCTTTAGTACGTGCGACAACGTTGAAACAAATTCATCGACTATTCTATTACTCTCCAGTGGTCCATTCTGCTCCTGTCCGTGATTCTTTCTCCACCGATGCCGCGATTTATTTCGCACCGATTTCTGGCAGAGCTCGGATGGACGATAAATTACGCTCGCTTGAATCGGGAACGCACGTAATGGTATTTTTGTCTCGTTTCTTTTTCTATAAAATAGTACAATACTCCAGCTATTTATTGAAGAGAGTGACGTTACACTTTATTTCGCGTGGAATCAATGAAATTTATGGTTATTAGAGTCTGAAAAAGTGTAACGTACAGTTAATTCTGACAACGTTCACTTATCATTTTTTTCTAAATTTTCTTTGGTAATATTTAAAGATGAATCGAAGTATACTTTATAATTCCCATAAGTTTAGATATGAAATGATAATTCGAATTGAACGGAACGTGAGGCTATAATTTGAAGTAATTCGAATATAAATTTACGGTTCCGTATATTCTGAATATTCATTGTTCGAACGTTAGAATCGTTTGTACGATCCAAATACAATTGGAACGGTAATTTCCCATTGAAAATGTTTGAAAATGAGAATAATTTGAATTTACAGTTCATTCGAATTCACGAGATTCGCCTCGTATTCCGTTTCACCGGATTATTAGGCCTCTAAAAAATTGTATCGGCCGTTGGCAAACGTTTCGGCGCGTGACAGAAACAAATTCGAAGCCGCCGCCGCCGCCGCTGCGCACGCGGATGCAACTGACGCAAGAGGCGCGCGTCAAAGTGAAAATCCCTGACGTTTCACTTCATGTTATAAATATTCGGCCGAGGTGTACACCACTCGACGAAATTTCTATTAATAACGTCTCCCTTGGCCTCTCTTCGCGGTGACAATGAGAAGCGGATGACGGAAGTGTTCGGTCGTCGCTCCTGTGGCCGCAGACTTCTCTCTGTCAACTGTCTGATGCGCGAAGTAAAAAATGAATCACTAAAAACACTTTTCTATTTGTGCCCGTGGAATCATTTTAGCCGTTACTTTATCGTTTCGATAATGTTTTGTCGTTGCAACTTTCTTATCGCTCTTCGATGTTACTTATTTTGAGCGATGAATATCAACAACCTGCGATCATACGACGGAATTGTTGAAAAAGGTCTTTCAATACAATTTTTCGATAGAGTGAAATACTACACTATTTTGATAATACTTGTAAAATAATCTTATTTGAATAATGTCCAGGTCTGCTTATATCGAGTAGCAGTTTCTCACGCGTATATATTTTAAGTTCTTTTTGGTTTACGTCAGTGCACGAATGTGTCGACCCAGGTTCGCTTTACTGAGCTCTTGTTGTCAACTTCGGTGAAGCATCATATCGCTTAAGATCGAGGTATCATGTAGTAAAATCTACCTTCCTGGAACAATGACACTAATTTGATCAAAGAAAATCATCTATAAGTTATATAAATTTATCTACAAATCTCTTTAACACATAAAACAGTTGAAAGAAAATGTTCGCAAGATTGATTAAAACGCACCAGAAACACCAAACAATCGGAGAATAAAATAAAGCGAACTGAATTAACAAAGAAGTGAAATAAAAATATCAACCCCACAACCATAATCCTCCATCGATATTACATAACAACACAGCTCACTGTTGCAACCCAGTATTTATTAAACATTTACACACGATTGCCAGAGAAGACATTCTCGACTGAAAATTATTATAAAAATGATCTTCTTCGCTCACCTTCTTTCAAGAGGCAGCCAGGAATGTTCGGTAAACGCAGCCAATCATTTTTCAACACCATTTGGCCAGGTTCGATTTGTAAAACGCGCCAAGGACCATGGAATTGCGGTTAACGCGGGAGAGATCGTTCGATTCCCGGTTAATCGGAAGTAACGACGATGGGTATCGGACGGAAGTCTCGCGAGAAACTAACCGTCGATCCTCGGTGAATCGCGATCGATGATTGTGGCTCGGGGAAGGGAGGCACTTGTTGCTTTCCGCGTGACTCGGGAGACACTGAGGGACAGCGTATCGCGTGAGAAGAGAGCTTTCGGCCAGAAGGGTCCTGGTATACTAAGTATGACGTTATTTATACCGGTTGATACTGGTTCCTCGCGTTATTTCGGGGATCGAACGAATACGCAAGCTCATCGAGAAAGCGGGACAATCGAACGGCGACAGTTTCCTCGAACTATCGGGAAAACATGGAAGGTATCTTCGTTTTTCTTTATTCTTAACACGCTGACTGCCACGAAAAACATCAGTGTTTTATGTATCGCTTATCCTTGCTATAGCGAAGATACAAAGCAAGAATTATTAATTTTTCGATATGAAAATTCTTATATTATCCTATTATCTAGTTATTTACGTTACGGAAAATTTGTATTCGAGATCGATTATCTTCCAGATCATAATTATTTTCTTGTGATTTGAAAGCTCTGGTCATCGGGGACCGCCGTGGCAGTCGAAGTGTTAACCCTTTGACGTATAATACCGTGTTATATTCCTAGTGAACATTTTAAACTCAATAAATCTAATTCAATAAATCTAATGTTATTTACTTTCCTTTTAGTATAGATTAAATATCACTTATCAATCGTTAATACTTAAGCCACGTCATTAGTGTATGTACGATATATAAATTCTGGTTAAGGATATTAATAATATTAATAAGAAAAATGGAAATGAAGTGAAAGCTTTGTTAAGCTGGTTACTGGAAGAATGTAAGTATATCTGGTTTTAATATAAATGAATTTGCACCTGTATTTTAACTTTCATTTAAACGTTCCTTGCATTGGTCAACGTAAATAATAAATTATAATTTTTTCCCACAAACTTGAACTTCAGATTAGATTTTAACTAAATTACAAATTTTCTTCAATTTACCACTACTGAGAGCGTTTTAAAAATGCCTGCCTCGAATTTACAGTATAACATCAGAAACCTGTTTTACCGATAGTGATTACCAACACCTCCACATTCCATATTTCGTCCACAAGAATTTCAATTCCCGAGATAACGCGAATCGCAAAAAGTCAGAAGAATATCGACCGTCGCCGCTTTATATGTTCCACAACAACTACTCGCT